CGGGCAGAGCGCGGTGGGTGGCGAGCCCGCCGTCCTGCCACCTCCCAACCACTGCCGCGACCCTGCCGGGCCGTGGCGCGCACACCCGCGTCTGGGTCTTGTTGTCTTGGGGCTTCCTCCCACATGAGAGCAGGGGGTTGGATGTGGTCGCCGGTCGCAGCTGGTGGACTTGGCATCTTCCTGTGCCCTTTGACCTCCCTAGTTCTCTCTGCCCCCTCCTCTGGGAGCCACGCGCTCCTTGGAGAGTCGTTTTCCCCCAAGTGCTCAAGACCCGTCTCAGCTTACGGAGGGTGTCGGCTCCCACAGGGCTGCAGGGGGATGAGGGGCTGGCTCGTGGACTGGCAGGAATTGGCCGGTGGGAGAAATATTTTACTTTGCTTTTGGGGATGGAGGCGCCTCTACGTGTCATAGAAAAGGCAGGCAGCATTTGCTCACCCTGCATCTGTGTGTGGGGGGGCAGGCAGGGTGTGGGGGCACTGTGGAAGCTCAGGTGCTATGGGGGGGTCCTGCCCGTCTGGCTGTGGCAGACAGGCTCTCCCCATGATGTGTTGAGACAGGCCCCTGTGTGTGTCAATGTCTTAAAAATTTGGGGAATGTGGGCCCTGTAACACTGGGGGGGAACTGGCTAGGCACTGGGGGAAGCCCTCACCTTGAACCCTGGGCACCTTCCTGCCACTTCCTAGGGCGCCTGATGGACATCCTGCGCTGCCGTGGCAAGAGGGGCTATGAGGCCTTCCTGGAAGCCCTGGAGTTCTACTACCCCGAGCACTTCACACTGCTCACCGGCCAAGAGCCGGCCCAGCGCTGCTCCATGATCCTTGGTGAGTGGACCCGCAGTGAGTGCTGCACCTCAGCAGCCCTTGCAGAGGTTCCTTGCCTTGTCCCTTGTCAGGGGGCACTCCCATTATCCCTGTTGAACAGATAGGGAGACTGAGGCACAGAGAGATCTGAAGAGGTGTGCCCGAGGCCAAAGAGCAGGCTGAGTGTGGGGCTGGGATTCTAATACAGTTAGTCTGAATTCAGAGTCTGCGCACTAAACAAGGCCCCTAAAATTGGTTGCAGGCATGTATGTGTCAGGCACACATGGGTTTATAGTTGCTTATGTAAAAAATTCACACAGTCCCTGTGACTTTAGAATAAAAAGGAAAGAGCTTTACTTTTTCCTTCAGCCCCGCTCTACTGGTAACACTTCGGCGAGTTTCCCTTTTCTTCGCACTTACACACACACACACACACACACACACACGGGATCATTCTGCATGTGTTCAGCTTTGTATTTCGATTTTTCTCAGAACACCTGATTTTCATGATTTTCTCCACCTGTTACGCTTGTTTTAAATGACTGCATAGTGTTCATTAGTGATGCTGTGCCATAGGTCATGCAACTGGTTCCCTGTTGGTGGACATCTAGGTTGTTTCCAGTTTCGCAACATTACGAATGATGCTGGGAACATCCTTCTATGTGCATCTTTGTGCAAATGTGTATCTCAGGAAGAGAGGTTCTGATAAGTAATATTTCTCAAGCAGTACGTGTATTTTAAATGTTAAATCAACATACATCCTACCAGCAGTGTATGACTGTCCATTTTGCTGTACCCTCATGCATCTTTGGGATTTAAAAATATTTTTGCTGGTTTGATATGTCAAAAAGATTGTTATTGTTTTAAGTTTATACTTCATTGAGAGATGTAGTTCGTAGCTTATTAATAAGTAAACTTTGGGCAAATGACTTGACCTTTCTGTGCCTCAGTTTTTCTGTCTTTAGGGAGGTACAATAATAGTACATGTCTTAAGTGTTGTCATGAAGATTAAATAAATTAACATATATATCTAGCCAAAGAATAAAGTCAAATGTTAGTGGCTATTATTGTTGTTGCTGGTGAGATAGAGCATATTTATTAGCCATTTTTGTTTTGGAACATACCTATTGATAGATTTTACCCATATTTTTATTTGATTGTTTGCCTTTTATTGATTTGTAAGAGCTCTTTATATATTGTGACTCTGAATTCTTTACTATATTTTTCTCTTGCTCTATTGCTTATCTTTTAACTTTGTTACATCTTTCATCATTTAGAAACTTTAACATTTTTATATGGATTTGTCTATCTTTTCTTTTATAGCTTCTGATTTTGTGCCTTGTTTAGGAGAGGCCTTCCTTACCGCCAACTTATAAAAATATATTCCAGAATTTCCTTCTAGTGTTTTTATGGTTTGGGTTTTTCTGTGCAGTTTGTTATCCCCTTGGATTTTATTTGCCCAACTAGGCTTTTCTCTCCCCTGCGTCTGGCAGATGAGGAGGGCCCTGAGGGCCTGACCCAGTTCCTGATGACCGAGGTGCGGCGGCTGCGGGAGGCCCGCAAGAGCCAGCTGCAGCGGGAGCAGCAGCTGCAGGCGCGCGGCCGGGCGCTGGAGGAGGAGCGGGCAGGGCTGGAGCAGCGGCTGCGGGAGCAGCAGCAGGCCCAGGAGCGCTGCCAGCGGCTGCGGGAGGACTGGGAGGTGGGCAGCCTGGAGCTGCTGCGGCTCAAGGATGAGAACTACATGATCGCCATGCGCCTGGCACAGCTCAGCGAGGAGAAGAACTCTGCCGTCCTGCGCAGCCGGGACTTGCAGCTGGCGGTAGGCCCTGGGGAACGGGCGGGGTGGCGTGGGGGAGGGGAGCCTTTGCAGAGAATGACGGCATGTGGCAGTCTGCTCGTGCCCCAGAGCCACCGTCTGTCAGCTGGNTATGTGGCAGCCTGCTCGTGCCCCAGAGCCACCGTCTGCCAGCTGGTGGATCATGGGCAAGTCCTTTCACCACCCTGTGCCTCAGTTTTCTCATCTGTAATATGGGGGTGCGGGTGGCACTTATTTCATTGAGTTATGACTGTAGTTCTCAATTGGGGGCTATTTTGCCTCCCAGAAACAATGATCATGTAAGGAAACATTTTTGGTTGTTACAACTAGGACTGTGCTATTGGCATCTAGCGGGTAGAGACTGGGGAATGCAGCCCTGCACAATCAAGAATTATTTAACCCAAAATATTAGTAAGTGCTGAGGTGGAGAAACCTTGGGTTACAAGGATCCATCAGTTTAAAACATGTACAGTGCCTGTCACAGAATTAGTGCTCAAACCCTGTACTGCCATAGACCATTGCTGTTACTGTTGTTATTATTATTGAGTGCTGCTTTGTGCCATGCGGGTTACATGCATCATGTCATATGACCTCACCCAGGTGCCATGCACTAGCTTCTCATTTTGAAGTGCACACACTGGGGCTTAAATTGTAGTGGGAGTTGCTCATCACAAAGCTGGGAAAAGGCACCTGGATTTGAACCAGGTCTGCCTGGCACCAGCACTGGCCTTCGCCCCAAGATGCTGCTCTGCCTGATCTTGTCCAGGTGAAATCCCACCCAGGCCTTTCTAGCCTGGAGTGAGGCCCCGCCTCTTACTGGTAGAGAAAACAGGCCTCACTTCTTGGTTTCCTATTGTACTCAGCATGGGGATAAAACTGGAATTTTATTGCCCCAGGGAATTGTTTGAAGGATTTAATGAGCTAATGCTTGCAAGGATTTAACAGTGCCAGCGGCACACAGTAGGCTCTCTCCAGCAATACTGTGCGAGGCTCCCTGGGGGGATTCTGATCTTATGAGCCTTGACTGAGCCTGTGGCGTTGCAGGCGGTGACAAGTGCCTGTCAGAGGCTGTTGTGTGGGTGCACTGGTGTCATGTGGGAGCCTGTGGCTGTGCATGCCAGCATGTTGATGTTTGGGGAAATGAATCCTGATTGGGAGTGTTGAAGCCACAGGTTGAAAGAGGCTGCCAGGCCCGATGGAGGGTGTAGGAGGCAGATGCATGGGTGTGAGGTGACCAGGAGGCTGTGATCTAAAGGCCTGCTTGGTGTTTGGCATAGGTGGGGCTGTCTGAGGCCCAAAGACTGGCTGCAGATTTAACGAAGGGTGGCCCAGGCAAGACTTCCTTCTCTGTGCCTCAGTTTCCTCATCATCCTGGAGGCGGGAGGTCACTACAAGGATGGTATAACGAACCAGCACCTCCAATGCGCCAGGCACAGTCCTCAATGCTTGCCATGCACCAACGCCTTGAATTTTCCAATATCTCTTTTGGGACAAGGGTAGGGACACTATTATTGTCCCCATTTATGGATGAGGAAGCTGAGGCACAGAAAAGTTGGTTAGAGCACTTTCCCAGGGTCTGAGATGGAGAATTCCTGATTTCACTCTTGGCACTGCTAGGGTGGTTGGGGTGGGTGGCTCAGAGATGACAGTGTGATGGCCACTGGCCCAGGGTGTTGGGAGGGGCTGTGGCCAGAATCGCTTGTCTTGCCTTTGGGTTGGGTGTAATTATGTGTGCACATGACTGGGGGAGTGTCTGTGTGTGTGTACAGCCATCTGGGGTCTCCTGGGTTGGGGTAGGAGGATGAAGATGAAGAAGAGGCATTGGAGCCCTGGCAGGGTGGCTCAGTTGGCTGGAGCATCATTCCGTACACCAAAAAATTTCGGGTTTGATCCCCAGTCGGGGCACATATAAGAGACAACCGATTGATGTTTCTGTCTCACATTGATGTTTTTCTCCCCCCCCTTCTTTCTTCCTAAAAATCAATAAACATGTCCTTAAATGAGGATTACAAAAAAGATGAAGAGGCATTGGAGGTACCCCTGTGTGTCCATTTTAGGTATAGGTGCACATAGTATGACCACGTAGGGGTAAAATAATCTGCCACTAGGCAGAGAATGGCTGCTTTTCCCCAGTTCAGCAAGTAGAGGGTAAGGGATGAAATTCAACGAATAGGTAAGTTTTTTTTAAGTGTAGCTACTGTAAATTTGGCTAAATTTTGGGGGCTTTATTGGCCACAGAAATTAACAGAGGCTTTGCAGATGGAAATGAATAGAACAGCTGACGGTGCCTGTCTTGGCAGCTTGGGTCCCCTCTCTCCATGGACAGGTGTGTGGTGGCTGTGATTTAATCCTGTGTTTTATAAGGTGCAAATTTAATGGGCTGTTATTTCTAAGCAACATAAACTTAAGGAGCCAACACTGTAATTTTGTGCTAAATGAGTTTGTACTCCAGGATTAAATGCATCCATATTTCCTGGCATTCAGCAGAGACTCCCAGGTGCCCTGTCCCCTGAGCTCATCAGGGGAGTTTGCTGGCCAAGGGTCATGCAGGAGGCCGTGGTGTGTGGCTGCGGTTTGCTGGAGAGGGTGTGACCACGTTTGCCCTTGTAACTAGCTGCCTTTCTCCGGCGGTTTACAAAGCATGTTTTGTGAGGGGAAAGGAATGTGAGAATCATGAATTTCTTTCTGAGCCTTTTGCGGAGGAGGAGGAACTTCTGACCCAGCTTCAGACTCTGGAGGGTGTGTGTGTGTGTGTGTGTGTGTGTGTTGCCATCCTCAGCTCTGAGAGGTGGGGGGCTACAGTCATTTTCCAAGAGAGGCCGGGGCATTTCTAGGGCACCAGACATTGGAACAGCCGAGTGTAGCACCAGCGGTCATTGAGCCTTTTTTAACAATGACTTCACTTTGTGGCCTGCCACCTGCTGCCTGCTCTTGTCACTGTCTCGCCACCTCGGACCCCACATGAATTTGGAAAATAACTCTGGCTGATGTACTCATAATCTGGCCAACTGATCATGCATATCTGCTCTCAGCCTGGCAGCCACCTCCCAGCTGCCCATCCACCACCATGGCCAGTTCCGGCTGCACACACTGAACGGGTGGCAGGTTGGGATTTTATTTAAAGCTGTGGAGACACCCACTGTCATGCCCCTGGCAGCTCTACAGCCAGCCTCTTACAGTTTCAAGGTCTCTGCCCACCTTCTGTTTTGTTTGATTCTTGCAATGACTTTGGGAGGCAGGTGGTGGAACAGGGGGATTGAACGGGCCCATTTTACCTATAAGGAAACAGGCCCAGAGGAGGTAAGTGACTTTCTCAGGATGAAAGCAGTACTACTGAAACCTGGACCCCAGGCTTGGAGTTCTTGTTGGGGATGAACTAACAGCGTAATCTTCTAGAGGGTGGCCTGGGAACCCTATTGCTCTCAGCCTCAGTGAGATCCTCAAAACCATTCTCTGTCCCCTCTTCCCTGGGGGATGAGGAGACAGGCACAGAGAGAGGCCATGACTTGCCCAAGGCCACACTGAGTTAGAGGCAGAGCTGGGCCTAGACCCCGGTTCCCTGTTCTCGGTGCAGCCCTTCATTGCGCTCGTACCGGATCCCGCCGCCTGTACTCCGTGTGGGACTGTGGGATGGATGAATGGACGAGTGTGTTGTGATGCAGCACCTTGGCCAAATGTCCTTGAAGCAGAGTCCCCTGGGAGAGCTTGGCCCTGCTGCCCCTTCCTCCCTCATCGTATTTGCCCAGCCTGTATTTTCTTCATAGACAAGTCTGGGAGGACGCCTGCTCGGGCCCCTCTGGGGGTCTGGGAGGCACCCAGGAGTGAGGAGCAGGACTTCTCCTCAATGGCCTCACTGGGGTGCATCCCTGGGCAGCGTCCCTCCCTGTACTGACCCATGTGTTGGTACCCAGGTGGATCAGCTAAAGCTCAAGGTGAGCCGGCTGGAGGAAGAGTGCACAGTGCTGCGCAGGGCCAGGGGGCCCCAGCCCGGGGCTGAGGAGAACAAGGAGCCGGACAGCGCGGACCTGGTCTCTGAGCTGCGTGCAGAGAACCAGCGGCTGACAGCGTCGCTGCAGGAGCTGCAGGAGGGCCGGCAGCAGGTGCGTGCGCGGCTCCTGGGAGGGGACTGGACAGTGAGGAGTCTGCACCCCGAATCTGAGATCTGGGTGGAACTCTGGCTGGCCTCGTGCTCTGCTCTCCTTGGCCTTTAGTCTGGGGTCTGTGGGTGGCCCCAAGAGGTCTCTGCACGCTTTGAAACTGCACCTGATTTTGTGTGTGAGCATTTTTTGGGGGAGAGGGCCCCAGCTTTTTTTGGATTTGTAGAAGAGTCTGTGACCCTGAAAAGATTGAGACTCTTGAGGTCTGGGTGGCCCTGGGGCTTGCTGGGTGTCCTGTGGCAGGTCAGTGGTGTTGGGGCTGGCTGCCTGGCCATTGCTTCACATAGGAAGTGGAGGGTAGGGGCCAGGGTTCTGGTGTATTTCATAGGGTTGGGGGTGCCTGCCTGGGGTGTGGGTTTTGGGGGTGGATCTTAGGCCCCATGTCTACCTGCCTAGAACGGGCTCAGACCCTGTGAAGACCTCTTGTCAGGGGGCAGGAGTAGGCCATGCAAATAGCCACCTGTCTGCTCTCCTGGGTGGTGGTGGGACCAGAGCAAGGGAAGTCGTGCCTAGGTCTTATTTAGGAACCTGATCCTGGCCGAGCTTGTTCAAGCATGCCGTCATCCACTTACCTCCTTGGTACCCCAGATGCTCCCTGGAGGGTGGGCAGGTCTGGTGGGGCCACACCCACTCTGCATACGGGAAACCGAGGTCCAGAGAGGTCAAGGCTCTTGGCCAAGGTGGCAGAGCTAGTGGGGTGGGGCTGAGGGCTGCATGTCCCCCTTCCCCTGACACTCAAGGTGGGCCCTGGGCCAGAGGCTGAGGCAGCCCTGAACTCTGACCCCCAGGAGGCCAGCCGGCTTGGGGCCCCAGGCTCAGAGCGCATCCTCTTGGACATCCTGGAGCATGACTGGCAGGAGGCGCAGGACAGCAGGCAGGAGCTGTGCCAGAAGCTGCACGCTGTGCAGGGGGAGCTGCAGTGGGCCGAGGAGCTTCGGGACAAGGTAGTGTCCGCAGTGCACCATCCCCACCCTGTCCTGCCCCCATTTTTCTTACACAGCTGGGGAGGCTCCTGGAGAGGAGAGGGTGGTGGGCATCACTAGCTCACTTGAGTGACCTTCCATGCAGGTGTGCCAGGCACTGTTCTAGGGACTGTGTGTTCATTCATTCTCAAGTATTTAGTGAGTTACATCAGTGAACAAAACAAATTTACTCTCCCTGTGGCAGGGGAGACAAACCGTATGGTATATACACAACCCAAGTCAACCACTTCACATAGTGGAGGTAATGAGGGCTGTGGAAGAAGCAGAGCAGGGCCAGGGAGTAGCTTGCAGTTAAAATGGGGAGGCCCAGGTTGGCTAGAAGAGAGTCATTATTATTGTTAGTCCCATTTTACAGATTAGGCAGCTGCGGCCCTGTGAGATGAAGTCAGGCCCAGCTGAGGAGATGGGGTGGGCACTTGTTTTGGGGTCTCAGGCCTCTCTCCCTGGACCTGTTGGGCACCTGCTGGTTAGCTTTCCCTGGTCTCCAGCCCTGTGGTCTGACCCGGGCATGTTCCACCCTGTACCACTCCGGCCACCCGCCCGCCCACAGTACCTGCAAGAGATGGAGGACCTGCGGTTGAAGCACCGCACGTTGCAGAAGGACTGCGATCTGTACAAGCACCGCATGGCCACCGTCCTAGCCCAGCTGGAGGAGATTGAGAAGGAGCGGGATCAGGTGAGCCCCGCCTGCTGTGCGTGAGGCCCTAGCCCCACAAACAAGGAGAAGTGGAAGGGACTAGAATTGTAGAAAAGGGACTTTCCCAGTGCACTGATTGGCTCAGGAGGGGGCACGTAGGCCAGGAGGAACAGACGTGGAACCTTGAGCACTCAGGTACGCCTGCCTTGTCCCTGAACACGCCTGCCACACCTGAGCTCTTGGCACAGTTAGGGAAGTTGCTCCTGGTGCTCTTTACTTCTGAATCCCTATTCTCTCCATGCAAAAAACAAGGCCTCTGCAGGGAGGTGCTTGCAAATATTTGCCGACGAAGAAATTCTCAAAAGTTCTGGCTGCCAGGCCCTGGGCACCAGGGCCCTCACTGGGCTGAGGCTGCAGTGTGGGCTGAGGGCCCAGGCCAGCTCCTCTGGCTCCCAGGCTTCCTGTGTGTGGCTCCCACGCATTGGGGAGGGCAGGAGCCTTTTCTCTCAGACCAAGTTTGAATCCCACTAGAGGAGTTGAAGTCAGTATGTTAGAGTGGACCTCAGAATCCCCTGGCGGGCTTGGCAAAGGGACAGATTTGAGGTTTTATCCCTGGACATTCTGATTCTGTGGTTTGGGTGGGATCCACACTTCACCCTGTTGCTCCTGGCCGCTGGGCCTCTGTCCCCAGCTCCCTCTGAGGCAGTGGGTGGCAGGTCCAGGCCATGAGCCCAGCTCTCAGGGACCTGGTCTTCAATGTGGGGAAAGTACTTTGGATGCAGTGGGCTGGGTTTGAATCCTGGCTCCTCCACTAGGCTGGGATGCAGTGAATTAAGCTGGCCACACACAGTAGGTCTCACAGTTTTCAGTTGTTCTTGGGAATAACTGTGGGGACTCTGCAACTAGACTGCCTGGGTTTGAATCCCAGCCCTGCCCCCGCTGCCTTGGTTTCCTTATCTATAAGATGAGAATTTCTCACTTGGAGGGTGAGTGTGCTGATTAAATGAGCTGACATTAAGCCCAGGGCCGGGCACACAGGAAGTACTGTTGCTTCACCTGTGCGGTTGGAGGCCGGGACAGTTGAGTCAGGGTGGCGCCCTCACCCTCCCTGCCGCTCTCCCCAGGCCATCCAGAGCCGTGACCGTATTCAGCTGCAGTACTCGCAGAGCCTCATCGAGAAGGACCAGTACCGCAAGCAGGTGCGGGGCCTGGAGGCTGAGCGGGACAAGCTGCTGTCCACGCTCACCGAACTGGAAGGCACCAAGGCCCTGCTGGAGGCCCAGCTGCAGCGGGCCCAGGGCGGCCCCTGCCTCAAGGTGACAGGGGCTGGAGTACAGGGTTCCTGGTGGGCATGCTAGGGTCCTGGCAGGAGCTTCTGGCCAGGGTTGGGAACACGTGGGACCTGGTGGGGGACCTCCAGTGAGTGTGGGAACATGGGGGAACTGGCTGGAGCCCTTACCCTGGGTCAAGAACACTCTGGCTCTGAAGGGAGCTCTTCGCCAGGATGGAGATTTTGCTTGGTCTGGTGGGCGACCCCAGTTTAGGTGGGTGTGGGTTGGTGCATCAGGGGACAGGACAGAGGCATGTGTGTCTCTGAGTTTCTGGGGTTGCTCTTGGGGCACTAAGACTAAGTCTAAAGCCTGTCTTTGCAGACACTTGGAGAAGCTCAGTGGCCTGAGGGCCTGTGAGCATCTTGGAATGCAAAACATGGGCCCTAAAAGCCCCTCAGAGACCAGCTAGTCCAATGCCCTCATTGCCCAGGGCCCCGAGAGGGTCAGGGGCTTGCCCAAGGTCACACAGCCAGCCAGTACTGGAGCTGGGCCCACAGACCCTTCCTGAACTAGATAATAATTCGGGGACCTCTGCCAGGAACTCTGCCTTATCTTGATTTTGCTTGGAGATAATCAGCTGGCCAGGTGTTTAATACCTGGAGGAATAGAAGAAAGGAAGGTGTGAATCTGTGACTTCTCACTTTTTAAAACCCTCAGTGGTTTTCACTCTCAGGAAAAGACAAAGCCCTTACTATGCCCCGGAAGCCCTTCAGGTGNAGGAAGGTGTGGATCTGTGACTTCTCACTTTTTAAAACCCTCAGTGGTTTTCATTCTCAGGAAAAGACAAAGCCCTTACTATGCCCCGGAAGCCCTTCAGGTGGCCCTCTGTCCCTCTAGCCTGGTTCTCTGGGTCTCAGCCTTTGAATTCCTGGAAGGCGTCCCTCAGTGCTGTCTCGGGCCTTTGCACACACTGTTCTGTCTGCCTAGACCATTCTCCCCAATTTTATCTGCTTAGCACCTGCTTACCCTTGAGTTCTCAGTTTAAAGCACACTTGCTCTGGAAAGTACCCTGATGCTGCCGGGCTGCCGGGCCTTTGAGTGCCTTCCTTGCCCTGGGTGCCTTTGATCCCCACTCTCTTGGCAGAGTAGGGCTGTTTCCTTCACCTGACTGCTTGTTTACAGTTTGTGTCCCCCTCTAGGCTGATCGCTCATGAGGGCAGGGACCCGTTCTCATTGCCACTGTACACATAGCAGGTCTTCCGTAAATGACTGCGGCTGGCCCTGGCACAGCACTGCTGACTTCATCGCTCCCCTTCCTCTCTCAGGCCTGCACTTCTTCCCATTCCCTGTGCTCCAACCTCAGCAGCACCTGGAGCCTGAGCGAGTTCCCCTCCCCGCTGGGAGGCCCGGAAGCAGCCGGAGAGGCCACTGTCATGGGGGGATCTGAGCCCCACACCTCGGTAAGACGCCTGCCCACCTGGATATGGGATACTGATAACTTTCACACAATTGCTAACATGTAGAGTGCCCTCCAGTTTGCTGACAAAGCCCTTACTATGTCGCATAGGCCCTTCAGCTGGGCCCCTCCGTCCCTCTTGCCTGGTTCTCTGGTCTCAGCCTTTGAATTCCTGGAAGGTGTCACAGTCCCATCTCAGGGCCTTTTCACACATTGTGGAATGTATTTCACATAGGAGGAAATTGAGATCCACAAAGGCCAAGCACCTTATTTAAGCTCGCCCAGAGCCAGCTCCATGCTGGACCTGGGGGCCACTCACACTGTAATCTTATAGAGTTCACTCATGTACATTTGTGGAATGGGCACAAGCATAGGTGTATTGAGTTGTGGGAAGGTGCAGGGGGTGACCCAGGCCCCGCTGCGACATTGCAGGAGGCGGCCACAGACGATGAGAGGGAGATCAACCGGCTGTCCATTCTGCCCTTCCCGCCCAGCGCCGGCTCCATCCTTCGCCGGCAGCGTGAGGAGGACCCTGCACCCGCTAAGAGGTAACCGGGCCAGGAGAGAGTGGCACAGGCCCAGCGCCTCCCAGAGTCCCTAATGCCAGAGTCAACCCTAGGCAGCCACCTCCCTTTACTGCCTTTAAATGGCTAGAGCGCTGGAAACCAGGGCCCTGAGAGTGGGGTGTGACTGAGGTCACAGGTTAAGACAAGGCCAAAGGGCAGAATGGGCTCAGCTCCAGCCAAACACCCTGGCAGGAAAGTCACTAGAACCTGAGCCTCAAAGTTGCTCAACCCGGGGCAGTTTTGGACTAGGACATGCGAAGAATGTTTCAAGGGGTCAGGGGCCTCAGGCAAGAAAGCTGGCTCCAGGTTTGGGCATCAGCAGCCAGTGGGGCCAGAAAAATGAAGCTATGTCCACTGGGGGCAGGACTGAGGGTGAGGGTGATCTGCCTCCCTCCTGGTGTACATCCTAGTCACGGGCTTGATCAGATAGGGGATCTGCCACGAATGGGGTGTGCGATGAGGAGGTCACGGTCCAGGAGCCACGGGTGACAATCTAGAAAGTGAGGATGAGATGAGGGGTGAGAGGTCAGGGGAGGCTTCGTGGAGGGGGTGGCATTAAAGGACGGGCCAGGGCATTCTAGGTGGAAGGCCATGGGGCTGAGGTCAGGATGCTAACTTCTTGCCTTGTGAGTTTAGGGGAGCTGTGTGACAGTAGTGCCCTGTGCCTGGGACTCCCACCTTAGGTCTAGCCTGCATTTGCTTGGGGGCTGCAGGAACTTTTGGTGGCATAGGGGCAGGAGGAGGGAGTGGGGCAGATACCCACTGAACCTCAGCTTCTGCCCCTCGCTGCCCTCTCTCTGCCCAGGTCCTTCAGCAGCATGTCAGACATCACAGGTAAGGGCCCTCGGGGACCCCATGGGGAGGGCTCATCTGGGGGTAACTTTTCAGCTCACCTGAGGCCTATGCTGCCTGCTCTGCCTGTGGCCTGTGTCTCCCTCTCTGAGGCCCAGCTGTGCCCTGGCCAGGCAGGAAGGCTCTGCTCAGGAGGCCTCTGGGGGAGCTGGCCCTGGCTGTGCTGTGCGGGGCTCCCCCTCCATTCTGGTCCACCCTTCGCCCTCTTCTGGGGAACTACAGGGTCACCCTGGCAGGCCTCGCCTGGCCCTGAGCCCAGTGGGCCCAGTGTGCTCCAGGAACCTCAAACCTGCCAAGGCCCTGCGCCTCTGGGCTGGGGGTTGTCCCTGGGCCCTCCTCCGTGTTTCAGATCAGCACCCCTGAACCTCACCCCTCCTCCCCAGGGAGTGTAACGCTCAAGCCCTGGTCCCCCGGCCTCTCCTCTTCCTCATCATCTGACAGCGTGTGGCCTTTGGGGAAGCCAGATGGCCTCCCGGCCAGAGGCTACGGCCTGGATCTCCTCAACAGGTACAGAAGCCGCGTGGGCTGGGTGGGGGTGGGGGTGCCGGCTCTCAGGGTCCTGGAGCAGAGTGAGCAGGAGCGAGGTGAGGGGGCAGCAGCTAAGCCTTTGCTTAGTGCAACTGGCAGAATAGTAAGTTTGCTTTTTTTTAATCCTCCCCCAAGGATACTTTTTCCATTGCTTTTCAGAGAGAGTAGAAGGGAGAGAGAGAGAAACATTGATGTGAGAAAGACACATTGATTGGTTGCCTCCCACACGTGCCCCCGACCTGGGCCAGGGATTGAGCCTGCAACTGAGATACATGCCCTTGGCCAGAATTGAACTCGGGACCCTTCAGTCCGCAGGCTGACTCTCTAACCACTGAGCAAAATCAGCTAGGGAAGAATAGTAAGTTTTTTAGACACAGGCTGACCTTGGGTTCAAACCCTGTCACCACCGTTTATCATCTGTGTGACTGGTCACTTAACCTTTCTCAGTTTCCTCATTGGCTGCAGGGGGCAGTGAGCTCTCTCTTCTGCATGTGGGTATTTTGAGGTTTAGGACTCAGGTCAGTAAAGCACCTAGCTTTGCCAGGTGCATAGTAGGTGCTTAGTAAATGGTAGTTGTTACTGGTACGGACACCCACCGTCTCTGCCTGTCCTCCCCAGCTCTGAGCTCCCGAAAGGCTGCACCGCCCAGCAAAGCTTTGTGCAGAGGGTGGGGTGGGGCCACCTCGGGAGCCAGGATACACATTGGCTCCGGGTGTGCTGGAGGCAGTGAGCTCTGTGTATTGGTCGATGAGTGGCCTCCTTGGCTGAGCTCAGGAGGGGAGATAGAGAGGCCAGGCTGAGAACGTGGCCTTTGAACTCAGCTCTGGAGAGAGAGCAGGTAGAGGGCAGCTGGGCGACTGGAAGAGGGAGAGAGCAGAGGCTGTCCAGGGATGGGCTTGGAATTTGGTGTTGACTAGAGCATGAGGGAGGAGGTGGGGGCCGAGGCTGAGTCACAGCGGGCTCTGAGTCAGGCTGGAAAGTGTGGACTTTGGCTGGTGTGCGCTGAGGATTTCGCTCTTACCAAATGCAGGCCAGCTGCTGGCTGCCTTAGAGCGTTCTCTCTGTCCCGGGAGGCAGGCAGCATTGCGATCATCCCAGTTTTGTAGGGGAAGAAACTGAGGTTGAGAGAGGTTAAGCGGCTTGCCTGAGGTTACACAGCCGGGAAGTGCCCGGGTCCAAGTCCACAGTGACCTGATCAGACTTCGGTTTTGGAAAGGGCGTAGGAAGCACTGATGTCAGAGCTGGAAAGTGGGGATGCTAGCTACATAGAACAGGTCACCAGGAAACCAGGGCAGAGCAGGGGCCTCCCGCCTCCTGTGCAGCTTGGCCAGGCCGGAGTCCAGGGCCCTGCTGCCACCCCCACCCCCGGCAGTGGGCCCAGTGTGACATTGTTTCTCCCTGTTCAGGACGTGCTTCTGGGGGAAGGGGTGGAGGCACCTCCCTTCCTGCCTGACTTGGCCCTTCCTCCCTCCAGCTCAGGCCTGCAAAAGGGGTCTTGGCTGTTGTCCAGGGGGTGCCGGGATGTGGCAGAGAGCCCTGTGATCAGGGGGCCACCTCTGGTCCATGCTCATCCTGGGCAGGAGGGAGATGGGGGAGAACACAGATTGAGGTAGAGGCAGGGGTGACGGACGGAGAGAGAAAGGGGTTGACGGACAGGCAAAGAGGGAGGTGAGGTGCCAGTGCATGTGTCCTGAGGCATTGTGACAGCACAGCTGGGAAGACAGACTGTTAGTCAGCTGAGATCCCTGCTCTGCCACTTGCTACTCTGGAATCTTGGGCATGTCACTGAATTTCCCAGTGCCTCAGTTTCCTGCTCTGTGAAATGGGTCACCGTCGTGCCGGGCCCCTTGGGTCGTTGTGGGGGTTCCAGTTTTTCCATTAGAGTGCGTAGACTGTGCCTGGCTCAGAGCGAGTGGTAATGTCAGCTTTTAGTTAATTTTGTTGTTGCCTTTGTTGCCTAATTCTCAGAGTAGCTGCAAGGCTGGCCTTTTAGCCCCGTCGTAGGACAGGTAAGGAAAACGAGGCCCAGAGGGTCAGGAATTCGTCCCAAGGCCACTTGGTGGTGGAGTTGGGGACTCCATGGTGCCTTCCTTCCATCTGAGTCACTTTTAATCTCCCACTCATGTTCCGTGCTCACTAAATGACAGGTGTTTTCAGCCCTTGCCTCTCCTGCCCTGCTGGGCTCCTGGGCCTTGGGTCAGGGCAGAGGAATTGGGCAGGCTGAAGGATGGACGGACAGATGGCAGGCTGGGAGACCGAGGCACTGAGTAGGGAGGGTGGGTAGGGAGAGCACTGGGTGCTGTGTCCCCTGCGCACACTTGTTCATGTGGCTCAGGATCTCTGGGACCTTCTGTGCTTGCACGGGGGCTTGGATAGGTCATTGCCTGACTCCACCACCCAGCAGCTGTGCAACTCTTGTGAAGTTAGAACTTCCTCACACCTCAGCTTCCCTCTTCTCTGCCATGAGGGAATAACAGGTGTTTCCCAAAGGGTGGGAAGGATTAAATGAGGGAATCTGTGTGGCTTGCTCAGCCTCTGCTTCACAGGTCCCTGACCTGGAACAGAGCAGTCACGTACACTGCCTAGGGATCTTCCCACAGCGCCCTGAGGTGGAGGTGAGGTGGGGGCACTCATCAAGGCCATTTGGGCCATCACTGCTTAGAGCTGACAGAGTGAAGGACTGGCCCATTCCCCCTGTTTCCCTGTGGCCTGGCCTCCCGACCTGATACTGGGGAGGGAGTGGGAGCCCTTACCTGGTGGACAGATTACCCCATCCTTCGCACCGCCCGCAGGCAGGGTTGGGGGCCAGTGGGATTGTGTTGCTGGAGACCCAGGAGTCCCAGGAGGTTGGAGCAGGCAGCCTTGCCCCCACCGTGTTCCTCTGTCCCCTGCTTCCTGCTTGTCTGCTGAGACCTGGGACTCAGAAGGACTTGATCTGGACCCTGCCCTCAGCCAGCCCCCAGGTGCTGAGAGTTGGTAGCCCGGGGCTGTGGAGGCTCAGAGAACTTACTTGGTCCCTCAGGGATGTGGGCGAGGGAGATCCTGAAGGTGGGGATGCCTGAGCTGCGACTTCGGGCAGCAGCAGGAGTTGGTAGTAAGAGCCTGGAAACTGGGTTGGAGGGTGGAGTTGCCCTGACGATGGAATTGCAGGGAGGGGAGGGGTGTGCGAGGCAGGGGGTGGAGGGCCTGGGTGCAGGCTGCTGGCTGGGCCCCCCCTGGGGAGGTTGGGATGGTTAATTGACTGTGGGTTTGAAACAGGTGGGGAAGCCGTGCCTCACAGGGGTGACCTGTCCTGAATCACACCTGATAACAGTGACTCTGATTTTCCCCGGGCATTTAATTCTTACCCGCACTATTCTAAGAGCGTCTGATGTTTTAACTCACTGAATTGTACAGTGAAGTAGGTGGACGCAGGGTGCGCTGCTGAGGACTGGAGCTTGAGTAGCCAGGCCGCCTGGCCCCAGATCCTGCTGACACCCTCCAGGCTGCATTTCTGAAACTCTTCTGTCCGAGCCACAGTGAGAGGAACCTTGTGCATATGCCCGAGGTGCAGGGTCGCAGGACAGTAGTTGGATTCACTTGAAGGGAGACAGGCTTCTGTGTGCTATTCCATTCCATTATAAACCAAAATTTCACTTTCCACTGAGGAACAGGCCTATAGTTGGAAGGCCCTGGAGCCCTCTGGTTTCCCTCCTGCCTGCATTATCTTTATGTTCGTCTCATCCTCACATGCAAAGTGGGAGGCAGGTCCCATCACTGTCCTTGCTTTATGGATGTGGCGTCTGAGAATCAAGCAGTCAGCTCACTCACCCAAGTCCAGGGCACAGTTAGCGCTGGGGTTTGGAACTGGACTGTGTTACTCCAGCCAGAAGGTCATTGGGCAGTAAAGCCAGGCCCGGCATTTGGCCTGCCAGGTCTGCACAGGCCTTTCCACACCACCTGGATGCGGCCAGGACAGTCCCAGGGTGAAGAAACCTCTAGCACCCATGTCCCGTCCTAGCCCCCCAGGCCTGGTTCTCTTTTTTTTAAAAAAAATATATCTTTATTGATTTCAGAGAGATGAAAGGAGAGGGGGAGAGAGAGAGATAGAAACATCAATGATGAGAGAGTCATTGATCAAGCCCACAACCCGGGCATGTGCCCTGACCGGGAATCGAACCCTGATCACCTGGATCCTAGGTCGACGCTCAACCGCTGAGCCACGCCTGGCCGGGCATGTTCTCTGTTTTTTTTAAAAAAATTTTTTTGTTAATCATCACCCAAGGATATTTTTTCCATTTATTTACTTTTTTTTTAGAGAGAGTGGAAGGGAGGGAGAGAGGAGGAGAGAGAAACATCGATGTGAGAGAGAGATATAAATTGGTTGCCTTCCTGCATGCACCCCAACCGGGGCTTGGGATTGAACCTGCAACCCAGGTACGCACCCTTGACTGGGAATCGAACCCGTGACCCTTCGGTTCATGGGCCAATGCTCTGACCACTGAGAAGCACTGGCCAGGGCTGGTTCTGTTTTGACTGAGGGGACAGAAGCTGACATGGGCTCCCCAGGGCCACAGGTCCCCCTCTGCCTGGGTGCTGATTGGGTTAAGGTCCTTGTATCCTTGCTCACCTTAGGCTGGCAGCAGGGGGCAGTGTGGTTGTATAGAGCAGCTGGAGGGTGGGTGGGGAGGTAGGTGGATGCCTGGGCTCTGCCTAGGCCACCTCTTCAGCTCCGGCACACTCACTGACCCTGGCCTCTTCCCTTCCCAGTACTGGGGCCAGGGGGTCATGGAGGAGACTTCTGGTCAGTTGTCTCTTCTGGCCATAAGGCCTCACCAATTCTCGTCCAGAGGCAGGTGGAGCCCTGCCATGATGGAGATCTTAGAGACTCTTTGTCTTAACCATCAGTGACTCCCACTGCCCATGAGAGGAATGCCAGATGCTGTGCCCTTCGTAGGCTGGCTACAGTTTGCCTTTTCTGGGAGCTGTTTCCCATGATGTTAAATTAGTTAATTGGGGCATGGACCTTCGCATGGTGTCTGGCACATGGGAAGCACCCAGTAAGTGTCGGCTGCTCTTATTACTGTTGTTATTAAATCCTCCCGCAATCTTGTATTCTGTCCCCCACACTTTGCTCAGGCCCACCCTCCAGGCTGGAACACCATCTCCTCCCTGCCTGTTACTGAAGTGCTTCTATTCTTGACCATGGCGTAGCCCAGCTGCAGCTTCCTCTGGGAAGCCACTCCCCTTTGTGCTCCCACTGCCGGCTGTGACCTTCCCTGATCTGTGTTGTGCTCTAATGGTGACCTTCCTTCCTAGACTGTGAGGATAACAAGCTTTTATTAGTCATCTACTATGTGCCAGACACTGGGTTTGGTGCTGGCATCCAGAGCTGAGGGTGTTCTTTCTGATGGAGGAAACAACAGGCGACATGCAAGGTGCAGATGGGGTGCTGCTGCAGGAAGCTCCACCTCACCGTTTGCAGGGGTCTGGGAGGGAGAGGTCGCTTTTGACCTGAGCCCTGAAGGATGAGCAGAATCGGGGGTGGGTGTCATGGCACACTTGGGGGATTACTGTGGTTTTCCAAGAGTGTTGAACTGAATCAAAATGCTGATTGAACTCTAATTCCCATCCCTTCCTCTCTTCTCAGGTCTCTGGCCATCCAAGTTTCCCCCGGGGGACCCGAACCCCAGGACAGAGGTCCAGATGGCCTGCCGTTCCTTGGGGACAGCAAGTCCGGGACTGTGGTGCGGAGGGTGCTCTCTGGGCCAGGCTCTGCCAAGGTGGAACCAAGAGAGGTGAGCCCCTAACCCAGCTCTGGGCTGGGAGAGGGTTAGTGCTTTAGCCAGGGTTGGATGCCTTCTGCTTGGTGGATCTGGGTCACCTGGTGCAGTTTCTGGGGATTGGCTAGAGAGGAGGCTGGTTCAGGATCAGCTGCTGGTTGCCCTACCTCAGCCAGCATTAAATGAAATCTGATTGGGCAGGGACTGGGAGGTGGGGCAGAATGACAGCACCTTGACAGATCCCCGCTTTTAAATAAGGGAAGGATCTGGATGAACCTGCTGGGTGGAGAGTCCTATTGAAGGGAGCAGATGCCCTCTGAGGGGGAGGCTCTGAATTGTGAGACATGGTCAGCCCCACACTCAGTCTTCCTCCAGAGCCAGGGCTGCCCTGCCTTGGGAAGCTGACTTTTCTCCCTCCCTGCCTGGGTTTTCTCCCAGCCAAGGGCAGAGGCTGCTGGCCTGGAGGGGACAGGCATGGAAGGTGAGGTCCAGCAGAGAACCTTGTCCTGGAACCAGGTGTCCACACTCCCTTTCCTGATGGACTCTAAGGGTAAGTCTGGCCGGGGAAAGGGCTGTCTGGGAACTCATCAGTCCTAGAGGGTCAGAGCTAAGGGCCCTTGAGAGGGTGCATCCAGCCCACAGAGGTGGGACAACTGAGGCCCTAGCGGGAGACCCCCCCCACCTCCTGACTCTTGGCAGTGCCTTTCCTTCCCGTGTCGCTTCCTCATGCTGTTCTTGTTCCCTTCCTCTGTTCTCAGTATCAGCTGATAGTGAAAGGAGCACTGGACAGGAGCCCAGGCACCTGGGTCTGAGCCCTTGTTCAGTCCCTGGTGGGCCTGGGGGCCTTGGGCAAGTCCCGCTCCCTCTGGGCCTTGGACTCTCACTTTTAGAGGAAGGTGGGGCCCTGGCAGCTTGCAGGGCCCCTTCTGGTCCCTGACTTCATCCTCTTGTCCTCCCTGCTGCCCCTGCCCTGTCCATGCCCAGCTTGCCAGTCCTTCTACGAAGCCCTGGAAGCCTGGGTGAAGGGGCTGGGCGCCGAGCCCTTCTACATTCGAGCCAACGTCACTTTGCCCGAGCGGGCAGATCCCCATGCCCTGTGTGTGAAAGCCCAAGAGATCCTGCGGCTGGTGGACCCAGCATACAAGCGGCGGCAGGAGTGGTTCTGCACACGGGTTGACCCCCTCACGCTGCGGGACCTGGACCGGGGCACAGTGCCCAATTATCAGAGGTGACCCAGAGCCAGGAGCCTGGGGACGGGGTCCCCCTGGGAGTTGGGACTGGGATGGGGCCTCTTCTTCCCTCTTCAGTCCCTCAATTCTCTGGGATGGGGGGGCGGGGCTAGAGGAGAGGAGGTAAGGGGCTCCCTGTCTCCCTACAAACATATGACATGACTCCCCCTGTCCCCCAGAGCCCAGCAGCTCCTGGAAGTTCAGGAGAAATGCCTACCCTCCAGCCGGCACCGAGGGTCCCGCAGTAATGTAAGCAGGGCTGCGCCAGCTGGGTGAGGGGCTGGGGAGAGGGGCTGCCAAGGGTGGGGTCCAAAAGGGAGAGGCCAGGCTTCATTCATACTTGGTTGACATCTATGTGCCAGCAAATAAAACAGCAGGGCTCACGTCCAGGGTAGTTGAGGGATTAAATGAGATAGAGTGTGCCCGGTGCTCAGGAGCACATCCCCTTTTCCAATCCCTGGATAAGCTGGAGCTGGGTCATCTTCCCCCCGTACTTCTGGGCCGAAGGAGACTCTGAGGGATAAAGTAAGTCAAGAGGCTGTAGCACTGGACAGGGGGTTGAGAGTGCAGGCTCTGGAGCCAGACCGACTGGGTTTGAATCCCAGCTCTGCCACTTAATCAGCAGTGCAACCTTGGATAACCACCTGGCATTAGAAGGCTTCAGTGGTTCATGCACATCTGGGGCCTAGTTAGTATTTATCACATTATAGGCATTTGATACCTGTCAGCTTTGGTATAATTAATGCTGTCATTATTGGTTTCATTAATATTCCTCCCCAAGGCCATTTTGCTAATTCATTGGAAGAGACCCCAATGTTTGTCTCTTCTGTGACATTAGGTTCCTTTGGTCCCTGGGCCTCTGTTTTTCCATCTGTAAAATGGGGGTGGGTAGACCTAAGGCTCCTCCAGCTCTAACTAGCTGACAGACTGGCTTCCCTGGGCCCATAGGGATGATTGTCCCTGCCTGCCTGGGGAGCTGCGCTGGGCTGGGTGGGGGACAGGAGAAGGCCCGATAGAAACGAGATCTTCCATGGTGCCTGGACAGCGGTGGCATGGAGTCCTCTCTGCCTGGGGTTCTGTTTATTCTCCCCTCTCTCCAAGGGTGTGATACTGCAGAGTTGACAGGTGCCTCTCTTTCCCTCTGTCCTCCCCAGCTGAAGAAGCGAGCGCTGGACCAGCTGCGGCTGGTGAAGCCCAAGCATGCGGGGAGCCCTGCAGGGGATCCCCCAGAGCAGCTGCTGCTGGAGTCCTGCTCAGGTGAGTGCACAGGTGTGAAGGTGCAGCCTGGGCTGCCATGGAGTCTGGGAATGCACCTCTGGGTGTCCTCTGGAAGGGCCTGTAGTGAAGGTTCCAGTGGGGTGGGGCCCATGCCAGGGGCCTGAGAGACAAGGCTCCCCTTGGTGGGAGGTGGGCCTCCAGGGTTGAGGGAGCTGGTCGGTGGGGGAGGTGCACATACCCAAGTGTGTGTGGGGGTCTGTATGAGTGTGGGGCATGCATGAGCTTGGGCCTGTTCTTGTCTGGCAGAGCAGGTGTAGTTGTGCCATGAGGAGCCCAGAATAGGTTCCTGGAGGAAATAGGAGGCTTTGGGCCAGATCGGGGGAAGGGGCTGGGAGAATCCAGATGAGGGAATAGCATTTCTGAGGGCAAGGAAGGGAGGGTGGTGAGGGAAGACATCCTGGAAGGGAGATTATTTGAACTGGGGCCTTCAGGATGAAGAGGAGTTTGTTCTAGGCAGAAAGCACAGCTTGCCCTGGCCTGTGTGGCTCAGTTGGCTGAGCATCACCCGTGCACTAAAGGGTCACCAGTTTGATTCCCAGTTAGGGCACATGTCCAGCTTGCGGGTTCCGTCCCAGTTGGGGTGTGTATGGGAGGCAGCCCATCACTGTTTCTCTCTCACATCGATGTTTCTCTCTCTCCCTTCCCCACTCTCTAAGAAATTAATAAAACTATATTTTAAAAAAGAGAAGGCTCAGCTTGTGCAAAGGCACAGCGGCATGGCTGTGCATGGTGTTTGGAGGACACTGAGTACAGCAAGTGGGTATCAGATGCCAGAACAGTCATGCTTTGTGCTTGGTCCAGAGGACACAGTCGTCCCCATCCCTTTGAAGCCTACTGCCTTTAGGAGATGGGGAGAGGCAGATGCCTGCCGGCCACATAATCCCATTCATGAACATACTTGCAAAATGTGACACTTGTAACCAAGAAATGGGTGCCAGTGTGGGGCTTTGGCCTTTCCAAGGAAGTCCCTGTGATTGGAGACAGCTGAAGGGAGGTCTGTGTGGAAGTAGTAGAGTCTGTGATGGGGCACTAGGCTTACTGCTCCCAGGCTCTGGCAGGGCTGGGTCACTCGCAAGGAGGATGTGGCCTTTCTCCTAAGGGTTGTGGGAAGTCCCACGTTGGGAGTTATGATCTGACTCTAATTTCAAAACCTCTCCCTGGCTGCTGAGTGGACAATGGCCTCTAGGGGGCGCAAGTGAGACAGATCAGGGAGGAGCCTACTTCACAGTCCCAGAGAGGGGACAGGGCAGCTCTGCTGTGTGTGTGT